CTCTATCTCGACAACAACACGGAAATAACCTATGATTCTATCTCCACAACATAATAGGTTTGATAGAGCTCACATTCCATTTGCATTACTAACATTTCAAACACTTTACATTAATACAATATTCTTGATTGTGTACATCTGCAGAATTAACAATTTGTGAATAGAACACCAAAGGTGTGAACCCACATAGGATGAACACAATTAAGTTCTGGATTAGTTACATTCATGTACCTTGAAGTATGGTGCAATAACACGGGTGATCCTGGAGTCTACTGTATCTATATGACTATATGGATAACCTTGAGATTACCGGTTATGATTAAATGAGTGACTTTAGAATTTGATGACAAATTAACATTTTTTTTTGCTGATGTGGAGTTCGTTTTTGATGTTACTGATTAGGGTTAGGCCCGTTAGGTTTACGGCTAGGATTAGGGATATGGCTAGGGTCACTGCGAAAATTGCTGACTGTTAGAGTTAGGGTTTGGATTATAATAATGAAACTTTAGTGGGTAATTATAGCTAAATTAGCAAATTGGTATTTTTTTGTACACTTACCAGTTTGGTATTTTTTCCAGCCTCAGTGATATTTTGTTTTATGTTTTTTTGAGCCAAAGTGTAATTAGACCTACAACTTTGCCGCGGGCAAAAAAATTCTACAAAACCTCTTTTCTCCTAGCACTTTTTGGCCTCCCAAACTTTCTCTTTTACTATATTGGAACAATACCATGCCGTTTCTTTCTTTGTCCCAAAATTTACTTTGTTGTGGTGGATTCAACATTCTCACATAAGCTTGGGCATAACCTTATTATCCTTATAGCAATGTGCCAAATAATCTTATGACACATTCCTCATAATAGTATCGTGTGAGCTTTCATGCTTTTTTTTTCACCGGCAATGAAGTTTTGGGTTTAACTTGCAAATTTGGCTCAAAAAAAAAAGGACAAAAAGAGAGAGAACGTTGCCGGAGCTAGAAATAAATACCAAACTAGTAAAAGAGGTGTACAAAAGGTACCAATTTAGTAATTTAGCCAATTATTGTTATAATCCTAATCTTAACCCCGATGAACCCCTGACGCTAAGCAACAGCTAAAGAGGATTCTATATGAAAAAAGAACAAGAGAAAAAAAGAGAATTCCATACAACAAAAAAGGAAGAGAGAAGGAAAAAAAAGAACAAACATTACATGCCGGCAGACCTAGTCTCGTATATAACTACAATTAGTAATCTCAAGGTTATCTGTATAGACATACAGACTCGAGGGTTACCTGTGTAAAATTACACCATACCACATGATATTGCAATGTAATTAATCCAAATTTCTAATATCCATGAATTCAAGGACCATCAGAAAAGTTCTGGTTTGGGGCATGGCGGTGACATATTGCTTGTTTTACATTAAAAAGTCATAGTCTGCAATAACACGTTTGGCACTAACATTCCATTGCTTGTTATTATATTAACTAGACAAATGTTTTGCCATATAACGAAAGTCAACTCGGGAGAGTTGATCCTTCCTTTCTGGTGGCTTAAGTACTCTAATCTCTCATGATATGAAAAATCATTTTAAGCTATGTTTTGAAATTGGAGAATGGGGATATTATGCTTCTGTCTGGGCTGACATCTACAATATCAGTTTTCTTTGACTAGGATTGCTTCGAATAAGTCTTGCGAACGTATTACATTACTCTCTTTATAGAAGATTTATATCTCAGATTTTGATATGATTTTGAGTTTTCTGATTTAGTCCCTCAAATCTTAAATGATTCTATATTAGTCCCTCAAATCTTTGAAATTGCGAAATTGCTCATTAGTCCCTCAAGTCCTAGGTGTCTTGCACATTGGTCCCTCAATGACCAAAATGTCCGTCAGCTCACCCGAAAAACCCCTGGGTTCAATAGCATAGGCTGAGGAGCATGTTGGTCACTGAGAGACCAATTTGCAAGACCCCTTAAGATTTGAGGAACTTATTAGCAATTTCGAAGATTTGAAAGGCTGATATGGAATAATTGAAGATTTGAGCAATAAATACCTAAACCCTATTCTTTTTTTTACTTTGCAGACCAACGGGGAAGAGCAAACCGACCTTATTGCAGACTTATTGATCACAAAATGGAGGAAATACTTCCATAACATAAAGACTGTATCAGACTTTGCTCGAATCAAGCGATTTGTGACAGGATACCGCAGATGAACATCAAATTGGTACAGAATCCGGCTGTATTAATATTCTTTTGTGTCAAATGCAAAATGTAAAGCGATCCTTGAAAATTAAGGGCTTTTTGGCTATCGTATCTTGTTTGCGTCAATAATTCTTGACAAAACCGGGTCAATTCAATTTTGCAGCATTAGGAATTTTAGTGCATCTAGAGATAAAACTACTGTGATATTCTTTTAGTGTAAATTGTAGATGGGTATTAGTTTGCTCGTAACTTGTCTACTATTAGTGCTTATCATTTTTGGAGTCGACATTCTGAAAATGATAAATTGCAGATATTCATTTTTTTCCCACATGAAATGAAAAGTATTAATCAATTTTTTTTTTTGATCCAATCTAAACTTTTCTTTTGACCTTGGATAAATTAATGATGTGGGGATATTCACTTGCTTTACATCATCATTTGATGACAGAAAAATTTGCTATGAATCTTTACTCACTTTTAGGCTTGGTTTGGTAGGGGAGGTGTAAGGAGGGAAGGTAAGGTGAAGTAATGCTCAAAATGGCATCATGGTAGCTGTTGACCAAAATTACTCCTCAAATCTGTGTTATTTGGCAATTCATACCTTAAATTGTATATCATATTCTTTGATATTCATATCAAGGTGGTTTCATTTTATTTAATAAAACTGAAAGAAAACTTTCATCCAGGAGAGATAATGGTACGCAACACATACAGCATGAGAAAATACTGCCAACAGCATCTGATCGATCACATCCCTCACATTATTCATCATTGCAATTAAGTTTTTCGAAAGCTGGAACCATCGATTCTGCCATTATCTGAAAAAAAAAACATGAACAAAAAATGATAAATATATCTTTGAGAAATAAAAGTAAATAAATATATCTTTGAGAATAGAGAGTATTCTGAGCACTTTGAGAGGGAGAACTTGTGAGCGAATTGAGAGATCATTGGTTAGGGTTTGTTCGAGTGTTCGAGTGATTGTAACCCTTTTGTACTCTCCTCGATATAGTGAAATTTTCCTATCCTCTGCCCGTGGACGTAGGCAAATTTCCGAACCACGTATATCTCTGTGTTTGCGATTGGTTTGTCGTATTTGTTTGGATTGTGCTCGTGTTTGGTTTGTTAATCTTCTCCCGTGGCTTACGGATTCGTTCGGTGTGCGAGCACGCTTCCACAAAAGCGCGCAACAATCATTACCCCCATTCTAATCATCCTGACCTCAGTAAAAATCAATGTCGACGCTTCTGCGTATTTTGATCGCCCGGCTCTCTGGGGGCCCTTGCTTGAAATCACCTAGGCCATCACGTCTGCTCTTTTCGCACCTCTCGGCCCTCCTCCTGCCGTTCTTGATGCTGAAGCAAAAGTTTTTTTTAGTAGGGCTCCGTCTTGCTCAATCTCATGGATATGGAATAATATAATTCTCGGATCGGATTGCCTTGAGCTTGTGCTCATGATGCATGGAGCGATTGCTCACCCGCAACGTCTGGCGGATGACAACTTTTGGCGAATGTTGGTCCCTTTTCGAATGTTTCAACTCTTCTCAGGTTTGTCGTGTTCGTCGTACGGGTAACATTTGTGCACGTAAGTTAGCCCAATTCGCCTGCAGATATAAATGTACCTCATTTTTGGACAATCGTGATGGTCCAGATCATATCTGTATTGATATCATGCTTGATGCTTTATAATAGAATCCTTGATTCCTAAAAAAAATAAAAATAAAAATAAAAATAAAAAGAAACCCACACACGCAACTCGCAAGCTTAATGAACTAAAGGCTAAATATCAGAAAACCCCCTTTAATTTTGGACAATTAATGGAAAACCCCCCTTTAACTTAGTATTACAAAAAAAAAAACCCTTTGATATTGCTCGATTTATGAGGGGAATATATAGCACTGAGACACAAAATTGAATCCCTGTATTTAATTACATCTTGTCTGGAGAAGTGAAGGGTAATTCCTTCCTCTTGCTAAATGTTTCTTTAGGTTGGGTCACTGAGCAAGAAACTGGGTGCATGGGGCGGAATCGAGCAAGAAACGGGTAACATCTGGTCTTTTTTTTTTTTTTGGTTTCCCAGTGTTTTTGGTGTTGCATAGTTAAGCCGCTTCAGCTGTATTGGTTTCAGCCTTCAAGTGATACTATTTGTCGTTTCTATGTTGTTCTGTGTTTTCTTGTTTTGTGGTAAACATAGGGCTGTCCATTTGGGCCCAAGGACCGGACCCAGCAGGGTCCAAGCTCGGGCCGCTTTGTTAGCGCCTGCACTGGACTGCGAGGCAGCCCATGTCGGCCGCAAAATGACGCAGGTCGAGATGTCCGGGCCCGAGCCTAGCCTAAGACGGGCGGGCCGGCGACAGCACGCGACGCGGGGACCGCCAACCGAGGTCACGTTGGTGCGGACTGCTCCGGGCTAGACCAGCCGGGCCCCGATGCCGACATTCCGCTGGCGTTCGAGGCCCGGGCCAGGCATCGTTGTGATCGGGCCCGACCTGGTCTAAACAGCCATAACGACCATTTTTTGGTTTCTGAGCAAAAAGCCCCAAAACGATTTAAAAATGCCAAATTTTGAGGGTATTTTGATCATTTGGCTAGGGGCCTGCCTCTATAAATAGAGGGAATTTTTATTTATTTTTCTCATCCAAAACTCATCTACTTCTCTCTAATACTCTCTAATACTCTCTTTTGCTCTCTAATTCTTCAATCAAATGGGTTGGGTCAGGGAAAATAACATTTACTACTTGATGGGGTGAGATTGTTTGGACTATTTTGATGGGGTGAGATTGTTTGGACTTTCGTTCGGGTTCCCGACTTGTTGTCGAATGAGTGGGACATTTGGTTGTTTTTGGTGTCGGCTCAGTTTTGAAAAAAACTTCACCGAGGTGGAGAATTGTGAATGTGGGTTTCCAGTGGGGGGCCACAACCCACGTGAACACAACCCACCTGAAGAGATTACATTTTTGAAACCGCGTTTTCTTTGAGCGGAACCGGCCCACCCAAAAACAACCAACTTTCAAAGCTATATAAATAGCTACCTAGGGTTTTGCGCAGGGGTGTGCAAGGAATTTTCGGCTGTTATTTTTTCTTTTTTTCGGCTGGTTCCTGCAGGCAGGAGCTTGAGGCTGCGGAGAAAAAGAAAAAAAAAAGGAGAAAACAGTGTTGAGGAGATTTTGTGTAGTCCCTTTTAGGGTTTTGTGCATCCCTTTGAGAGAGTATTTGTGTAAGGGATCTGAGAGTTTGTGAGAGGGTTTTATTTGTGAGATTGTAAACCCCAATTGTATCTCTCCCTCTATTAGTATATCTCCCACCTCCTTGCCCCGTGGACGTAGGAGATTTGCCGAACCACGTAAAATTTGTGTTCTTGCCGTGATTTGTAATAGCTTGTAGGTTCCCTCGACGCGCAGTCCTAGAGCTGACGAGAGGAAGAGCTGATATCTCACTTTGATGAGATATCTGGCTTTTGGTTCTTGTTTCCTTTGAGAAACTAGAATTTCATTGTGATCTAATTTCTTGTTGTGCACCTTGCGCACCGGAGGTGCTGCCGAAATTTCTGCTGCGCACAACAATTATAAAGGCAAATCCCAACTCCCGATGTTGAAATGAGTCTAAATACTCCTACTACAGGAGCTACAGTTACTCCTCCTACTCCTACCGATGTTGATCACGAATCCGGTGGCGATGATTCTATACCTAGATCTCCTAAAAGGCCAAGATTCGATGTGTGGATCTTTTTTAAGAAGATAGAAGTCACCAATGATCAACACGATAGGCTTCTCAGCCAGAATGCTAAGTGTGCGTTATGCGGCCATATTTTCCAAGCTCATTATAAAAGCGGCACCAACCACCTCAAACACCATTTAGAGAAACACAACAAAGGTAAGGCAACGCCTTAAAGTGATATTTGACAATATCCTCATCTTCCGATAGTCTTGGTAGTTGGAACTATGATGCAATCCGAGTCAGAAATGCATCATCAGGTTTATTATTATTAAAAACATTCCTTTTAAATTAGTAGAAGATGATGAATTTGAAGATATGTTTATAGATGACTTTTCCCCCGCATTTAAAGGAATTTCTCGTCAAACTTGTCAACGTGATATTTTAAAATATTATCACGATGAATAAGCAAAAATAATTTCTTCTTTTCAAAGTTTAAACTGTAAATTTTCTTTAACTTCTGATATTTGGACATGTAGAGCATAAACTGGTTATTTATGTATCACAACATACTAAATTGATGATAATTAGCAAATATTTTAAAGAGTTATTTTGTTTATTGCATTTGAAGATTCACATAGTGGTATTAATATTACAAATTTAATAATTGAAGAACTTATAAAATTAAAATTTTTAGAAAAAAAACATTTTCTCTTTCACTAGATAATGCAAGTAATAATAATAAAGCCGTTGATCATATCAAATCATCTTTACTATTGTTATGTCATGGCGATATTTTTTCATATTAGATGTATGTGTCATATTTTAAATTTAATTGTTCAAAGTGCATTTGATGAAATTAAATCCATGACATAAAAGGTTAGGATAGTAGCTTATGCTCATAATGCTTCTGAACAAAAGACTTAAAAGATGAAAAAAATTGTGTAAAAGAAAAAAAAATCAAACCCAGATTTATTCCAAAAGATGTTGACCATAGGTGGAATTCTACCTATGCAATGTTAAATGTAGCAATAAAGTATAAATAAATTATAAATAATTGTATTACTTTCTATACTTCTAGTTCTAGCTCTGGTAATATGTATGAAATAATTAAGGATGAATAGTCAGTTATATATAGTGTAAAAGAGATCGATGTTATAAATTTTTTATGATGCTATTATGTTATTATCTGGTTGTTATTACCCAACTATGCTTTACAAGTTTTAAATATTAATTTTTTTAATAATTATCATATGGATAATTATTTTGAAAATATTATTTTTCAAATAAAAAGCAGATTTAATAAGTATTTTAGGCCTATTCTTATTATTTTTTGTTTGAGGGTTCTTATTGATCCATGTTTGAAGGATGTTGGCCTTCGAAGTTTGTTAAATTCTTTGTATAGTAATATGATAATAGACACTGATGATAGTCAAACTATTACTGCTCTTACTCATCATAATACTACTAGAATTTATTTTTAAAGATTATATGATGAGTATGCAGCTAGATATGGTGTAAGTACACATCAACCTATAGCTTTCTGCTTATACGAGTTCAAGTCGGGGCAAACGTAAGAGTTTTGATAGGAAATTATTGACAGCTCAGCTAACTGGTGGATCTGGATCATCAATGAAAGTTTTTGAATTTGAACAATATTTAACTGTATCTTTAGTTAAAAGTAAAAAAATAATAATAGTTTTGATAATTTACAATGGTGGAGAATATATGGAATAGTTTCATATCCTATACTCTCCATCATGGCTCATGGCTTACCAACAGTGCAGATTTTCATGGTAGCTTCGGAATCCGCCTTCAGCACAACATGACGTTTTATCAACGACTACAAGACATCGTTAGATTTGTATACCGTACATGAGGTAATGTGCCTACAAGATTGGTGGAGGTACAAGAAGAGAACTCAAAGCATCGATCGGATGGCTAGTATTGAAGATAAACTTGAAGATTTGGGAATAACAGATAGAGATAAAGAGTAGAAATTATTTATTAGTTTGTAATTTTTATTTCTTACCTGAAAATTTGTGATAAATTATTTTGGAAAAAATTACAAATGATAGTGATATAGATGAGTAGGTGCCAGTCTAGTTGGAATGTATTCATCTATTGTGATGCAACAAATTCTAAAATAAATTTATAATTATTATTGATTAACTGATTATTAATAAAGAATTTATTTTTATTATTTTATTTTCTAAGACTTTTATATTTTTAAATTATATAATTACAAGTGATTAATAGCATGATTGATTTTTTTATCAAACTTTCGTTTAATTTATTATTATGTACTCTTGAAATTTAAAAAAGGAAAATAATCGATTCGGCCCGGTGCTCGGCCCGCCCGGGCCCAAGCCCGGGTCCGGGCCCCGGGTTTGCCCGACCGTTTGGACAGCCCTATATATGACTGGTGTGCACCCTGTGCTTCCCCCTGTTTTTTTAAACACTGCATTTTAAACTTATTTCCCTCTAAGTTTTAATGCATTTAATTTGATTATTGTATGTTTAAATTAAAAATTATATCTACTCCTCTATACTTAAATAAGGATGCAAGTTTTAATAGCTTTGATATAGAATTCATATTTGCTCCTTTATACTTAAAAAATAATCCAAGTTTTAATACATATGATTTAGAAATTATATCTATACTTCAAACAAGGACCAAAATGTTAATGCTGTAGTGAAAAATATTTTACATTATGCTACAGTTTTTTACTGTAACATAAACAGTATTTCACTGTTCGTGCTATAATGACCAAACTACCATCATGTCCCTCCTCAAATCCAAATTGGTTAGAACCCTATCTTACCCATGACAAGGGCCTTTTAGTCCAACCAAAATATCTCTCATCCTGTGGTTCCCTTCGTTGAACCTTTATCCTTCTCATCACCTCCTTTCGGCTTCTCCCTCCAAAAAAATAAAAAATGGCCCATTCCCAAGCCCACATCTGCCACTGCCTCAGCCGCCTCCGGCGACGTTCTCCGCTCACGATCGACGGCTATCGCCGGAGGTCCGGAGACGAGTTCGTCGGAGACGTCGTCGGCCTCGCCCTCGGCATCGAAAGGCTCGGGATAGCAAGAGGAGACGTGGTTGCGATCGCCGCGCTCAACAGGTAAACTCCTCCCTAAAAAAAAAAAATTAAAAAAAAGGTGTGATATTTAAACTCACCGTTTGCAAATGAATTGGTTGTTTCAGTGATTTTTACGTGGAGTGGCTGCTGGCGGTCATGCTTGTCGGGGGGATCGCCGCTCCCCTCAATTACAGATGGGTAAGAGTTGGTGGTTTTTGGCGATGAAGGAGATAAATTGCACTGCATTAACTTGGTGGGTTTTGGTTTGAATTTGTAAAATGCAGAGCTTTGAGGAGGCGAAATCGGCTATGGAAGCTGTACGGCCTGTGATGCTCGTGGTGGACGAGAGCTGCGTTTCGTGGGCCCGAGCGCTGCGAAACGACGGTTGCTTCCCGTCTCTGAAGTTGTATGCTTGCATCGGGGACTTATCCGGCGGCCAGCTTCTTAGGAGTGAGCATTGTGAGAAACTCTCTAATTTGCGCCAAGAATTTTGTTCATTATCAATGCTAGATTGTTACTTTACCGCATCATTTTGCATGTTGGTATGGATACTTCATTAGTGAACTTGCGAGTTTGATGAAGCTCCCCTCTTCTTTTTTTGACAAAATTTTGGAGGACAAATTTTCAAAACCAACCTGTTTGTCAAAAAATTCCAAAAAAAGAACCATTTCAAAATTAATTTCGAAAACCGACCCAGTTGGTTAAAACTGGGTCAATTTTAAAAAAAAAAATTCTCAAACTTTACAAGAGTTGAAGTCCCGTGAAGTTTTGTTATATAAAAACTTCACGAGACTTCAACTCCTATGAAGTATGGGAACTTTTTTTTCAAAAACCGACCCTGTTTCAACCAACTAGGTCGGTTTTTGAAATTAAGTTTGAAATAAGTCTTTTTTTGGGAATAAAATTCTAAACAGGTCGGTTTTGAAAATTTGTCTAATTTTGGAAGGAGATCGAGGAATAATTTCTGCAGTTTTAACAATGAATCGGTTGCTTAATGTCCATATTCTTTTGCAGTTTCAACCATGGATTCTATTAGAGTGCATGCACCACATCCGTCAATGCCCCAAACAATGTGTGCACCGAAGGGAACTGCTCTTATATGCTTCACATCAGGTATCGTTATGGTTTGCTTAACTACTGAACTTGTCGTGAGATGTTTCGAGACAACAAGAAAATGAAACTTAAATTTCCATATGAAAGGAATACTTAAAACGTGGGTTACTCGACATTACATACAGAATTCATGAATTCAGATCTCAATGATAGGGCATCCTAGAAGCAAAACATTATTGATGGGGTATTTGTGAATATGTCGAGATTGCTAGTGCACAAAAAAGTTATAGTATAGAATAATGTTCAATCCCACGAAAAATATGTTGTAGGAATTAATCAAAAGTGATTCTCAAGTTGCGTGTGCGACAATTAGGAGTGATAAATGTGTGATTGTGGAGAGATATGAGGAGAGTGGTTGTGACTATATGTAAATAAAAATAAAACTAGAGTGAGAGGGGAGGAAGAAAGATGAAGAAATAGAAGGAAAATAAAATCAAGAATCAAATAAAAGAGTGAGAGGGGAGGAAGAAAGATGAAGAAATAGAAGGAAAATAAAATCAAGAATCAAATAAAGAAAAATCAAGAATAAAGAGGAAAATAGAAGGAAAATAAAATCAAGAATCAAATAAAGAAAAATCAAGAATAAAGAGGAAAATTAAGAAAGTAAAGGATGGAGGATTCAATTAAAGATGTGCGGAATATAGAATTGAATTCACTAGTCAATTTCAATTATAAATTATAAATCATTCTCTTTTTATCACATTTTACTTTAGATTTATTAAGCATAGACTATCAAACCACATAAAAGCATAACCTATCAAATTATCATCCAAGTAAAATCAACATTCATGAAAATAATAACTGGATAGTAATTCTAGAATTCCTCCTACCAATTAGTTCTCTAGTTGATTATCCTAAACATGATCATTTTAAGCACAAGAGAGTAATTCACAATTCATAAAATAAATTAAACTAGTTTCCTACAATTCTGGAATTCCTATAAGAATTAATTTCACATCTTAGAAAATAAAAATAAAGAAATAAAAAAGAGAGAGAATGAAAATAAAAACTAACTCCAAAGAGGGTTCTAGCCTCTATGTGAGAGAATGAAAGGAAAAGAATGAACAAAAATAATAACTAATTTCCAAGAGGGTTCTAACCTCTTGGTGAATAGTGCAAGAAAATAAAATCTAAACTATGCAAGAAAATAAATCTATACTATAAGATAATTGTAAGAAAATAAAAACATAAAAGTAAATCAACTCTACAATGCATAAAAATAAATCTAATTCAAGATGGTTCTAGCCCCTTGAATATCTAAAGTAAGAAAAAAATATTACAAGAAAATAAAAAGATAAAAGAGAAAATTTACATTCTAAGAGGGTTCTAGCTTCTTGATGAAGGCAAATCTTCATCTTGGTCGTCATCTTAATCTCATCTCCATCTTCATCATTAAATAAAGAGAAGAAAAGAAAAATATGAAGAGGTGAAAAAATTATTTTATTAATTGTAATAAAAAGTTATAATTTTAGAAGGTCTTCTTAATTAAGAGTAACTCTTCACTCCAAATAGACTTTTTATAAAAATTTTCATACTCAAACCCCTTACCATTTACCCCTATTTATAGCCTATACAGCAAGTAACAAGAACCATTAGATTTTACTTGGGCTCCAAATATTAAATCTTAGCCATAAAAGTTTGTTACGAACCAATTGGTCAGTTAATCGATTGTAATTTGAAAATTCTGAAAATACAGTCAGCTCCGTCTCGTCGAGATAGACGATTTTCATATATTATAGGTTAAATTCTACCTTCCTGATTGAGTGATATCGTCGTTTCTTTATGGCTAATCATCTTGAACATGATTTTGACTTGATTTCTTTTCATATTAGATCCTTGTTTCTTCGGCTTCTGTAAATTGCTTGGCTTGATCCCGGGCTTCAATAAAAGGTTAAAAAATAAGGAAATTTGAGTTCTTTTGAGCTTTTATTCATTAATTCTTGATTAACCTGCAAATTAAGATGAAACATGTTTATTAGTAACATTTTTATTTAAACAAAATAGATAATGAGGGTATAAAAATGTAATAAATATGTTATTATCACTTATCCTAGTATGTTATCAAGGTATCACCCTCCACTATGGGCTGCAGTTTGGACCAATGAAAAGAAAACCGAAGTAGGCTCAGTTCACCTTACTGTAGTATATTCCCAGTACTTAATGCGCTGTTGTGAAAGAAAAAGAACTGAAGCATATTCTGAAAATGTGAACAAGTTATATACCCTTG